ATCCCAAAATAGACCCCTTTAGCGTATGGATTATCTTGAGCTATAGGGAATTGAGAACCAGCAGTGCAGGAAGAGTGTTTTTTACCTTTCTCTAACTGCATAAAACTGATGGCTATGTACAAGGAAGAGAGGGACTGCTGGAGACAGCTGTCATCACCTGAGAGGCTCTTACCTGGATGGCAGAACAAACCTTATTTACCATACCTCTCCTCACCTCCTTATAACTTGCCTTCCCCACCTGGAAGCCCCAAAGTCACTTTCCTTTGCTTAGCCTAAGACAGTATTTAAGCCTCAGTCATCTGGCCACCTCCTTGAGTCTCGTTTCTTTGCGGGATTCCCTTGTATGCATGTAATGAAAACTTTGTGTGTACATAATTAAAACGTGGGTTCTCTCTTGATAGTTTTTCATCAGTTTGATTCCTGGGCCCAGCCATTGAACCTAGGAGGGTAGATAAACAGGTTTATTTCCTCCCCTACAGGATTGAAAGGGTCTCCTACATGAAGCATCCTCTTAAAGTCACAAAGGGGCTGAGCTGGATCTATTTTGGGGGTACAGCTTCCTGCATATGACTCTACTGTACATCATAAGGCTTTTACAGACTTCATTTACAAATTGGTCTAAAGTAGCTCAGCATCCCTGAGACACTGATGGTCTTTGAGATGATTTATCTAAGTCTGAAATGTTGGCTAATGTTCTTTACTAGCAAGGGCAAGGTTTTATATTGCTGATGTTTAACAGCCAAAGCACGTTTGTTATTTCTTATTTAAAAAAAAAAAAAAAAGATGAGTGAGGCCGGGCACAGTGGCTCACGCCTGTAACCCAGAACTTTGGGAGGCCAAGGGGGACCAGATCACCTGAAGTCAGGAGTTCAAGACCAGCCTGGCCAACATAGTGAAACCCTATCTCTACTAAAAGTACAAAAATTAGTCAGGCGTGGTGGCAGGTGCCTGTAGTCCCAGCTACATGGGAGACTGAGGCAGGAGAATCGCTTGAACCCAGGAGGCGGAGGTTGCAATGAGCCGAGATCACATCACTATACCCCAGCCTGGGCGACAGAGTGAGACTCTGTCTCAAACATTAAAATTTAAATTTAAATTTAAAAAAAAATGAGTGACTGTAACTCAGAAAGCATTAGGAGGCCTTACTGGAGATCTCTGCATAGGGTAGGGTTTAATACCTTTGGAAATGATTACATTTTGAATGTCTTAACAAAAATTATTGTATGGGGCGATAACACACAGAAGATGAGAGATTTAATAGAAATTCTACCTCAAGCCTAAGTATAGAAACTCTCCCCAAGCCCAGGATCATTACAGTGAGTACTATAATTAAAAATTGTAGGATTCCTTGGTGTAAGTCATCAGCACATACTAAAAGTAAAAATAAGCTTTATTTAATGACAGTCTGCCAGTATCTGTAGATTTTGGAATTTCTATTTTCATTCATCTGTGAGAGTTCTGGTTGTCTTTAAGTCCCACAAAAATAACACAGTGGAAATCAATTGAAGGCACAGAGCCAGAAATACAGATAAGTTAGATGGTCTCTTGAATGTTTCAGCCGTGCCAAATATATTCCGTTAACTAACAGGGAAAATAAATGAATTGGCCAAAAACTATGAGCCCGCTGGCCATGGGGCCTTACGGAACACACAGAGTGTTTATTTGTATGAAAGGAAAAAATGCAAACGACTTACATGAACACGTGATGACACGAGTCTAGGTTCTGGAAATCTGGGCCACGCACACATCGCCAAACTTTCAATGGAGTAAGGGTAGAATGGACTCCTTGGCGGAGTGCCAAAGCTGACAAGGAAGTATTGTTGGTGTCAACTCTATCCAAGAACCACAGAGCCCTTTGACGTGGATTCTCCCTCACATCCTGTGCCTGAGCCTCTCACCATCCAGGCCTCTACCTCTACACAGTAAATTTAAATTTACATAGACACTGAAATCAGCAAATCAGCACCGGCTTGCTTTTCTTTCCTGTCCTTCTCTGTCTGTCCAGTTGTCTCTGTCTCTCTCTCTCACCCTCCCTCTCCCCTCCTGCCTCTTTTTTTTTTTTTTTTTTTTTTTGGAGATGGGGTCTAGCTGTGTTGCCCAGGCTGGAGTGCAGTGGCACAATCATGGCTCACTGCATCCTCAGACTCCCAGGCTCAAGCACAACCTCATCCTCCTGAGTAGCAGGGACTACAGACGTGCACCATCATGCCTGGCTATTTTTTTTTAACTTTTTGTAGAGGCAAGGTCTCCCGATATTTCCCAGGCTGGTCTCGAACTCCTGGGCTCAAGTGATTCCTCTACCTTGGCCTCCCAAAGCACTGGGATTCCAAAGATAAGCTCACCCTCTGCCTCTTTTTTAAATAAGTTAATAACCATCTGATGCACTCAACATACCACACCAGAATACCTGGTTTGTGGTGAGGCTTCCTCCAGGCTTTTGGAGCATAGAGAAATTTAATCACTTTTGATGAGCTCCACTTTGAGCAACTTTTATTTCTACACTTACTTAAACTAAATGGAAGCCTCCATGCATGGCACAGGTGCAGCAGTGCAACTTCCACTCTGTCCTCCAACACCCAGGGGTTATGGAACAATGGCTGTGCCAGCCAACTCCAGGCTAGAGCACAGCTGGATGTGCCAGATACTTCTGCCTGCTGTCAGCTGTCCCCGCAGCACAAGAACACCAGCTTCTTCCTCCTGACACCCCAAAGCTTCAGGGTCTTGATCTTCAGCCCCTTCTTCCCTTCCCTTCCCGTTCCCCTTCGCCTTCCCTTCCCTTCCTCTTTTCTCTGTTTTTTTTTTTTCTTGTTTTTTTTTGTTTTGATTTTTGTTTTGTTTTTTCTTGTTTTTTTGTTTTTTCTTGTTTTTTTTGTTTTTTCTTTTTCTTGTTTTTTTGTTTTTTTGTTTCTTGTTTCTTGTTTTTTTGTCATTAAATAAAGCTTATTTTTACTTTTAGTATGTGCTGATTATTTACACCAAGGAATCCTACAATTTTTAATTATAGTACTCACTGTAATAATCCTGGGCTTGGGGAGAGTTTCTATACTTAGGCTTGAGGTAGAATTTCTATTAAATCTCTCATCTTCTGTGTGTTATCGCCCCATACAATAATTTTTGTTAAGACATTCAAAATGTAATCATTTCCAAAGGTATTAAACCCTACTCTATGCAGAGATCTCCAGTAAAGCCTCCTAATGCTTTCTAAATTACATTCACTCATTTTGTTTTTTGTTTTTTTGTTTCTTGTTTTTTTGTTTTTTGTTTTGTTTTTTTGTTTCTGTTTTTTTTTTCTTGTTTTTTTTTGTTTGTTTGTTTTTCTTGTTTTTTTTGTTTTTTTGTTTCTTGTTTTTTGTTTTTTGAGTCTCACTCTGTCACCCGGGCTGGAGTGCAGTGAGACAATCTCAGCTCACTGTAACCTCCACCTCCCAGGTTCCAGCAATTCTCCTGCCTCAGCCTCCAGAGTAGCTGGGATTACAGGCGCCCACCACCATGCCCAGCTAATTTTTGTATTTTTAGTAGAGACTGGGTTTCCCTGTGTTGACCAGGCTGGTCTCAAACTCCTTACCTCAAGTGTTCTGCCCGCCTTTGCCTCCCAAAGTGCTGGGATTACAGGTGTGAGCCTCCGAATTGCAGGAATCACCACTCTGCCTCCACATTTCTACCATTCTCTCTTCCCAGTCACCAAACCCATTCCGTATCATTATCCACAGTCCCTTCTTACCAGAGTAAGGTAAGACTTTGCCGCTGTGGGGTCATTAAGACCAAAGCCTTATTCTCTGTTTAGCTCCTGAAGGCATTTGAGTTTGTGACCGAACAGCAAAAATCTAAAAAATCAGTAAAAGTAGACCATTTTCCTTTTATGATAAGGAGACAGATGGGAGTCTATTAAAACATACAAAGGATGATAAATAGGATAATGGTGCAATCCAGTGACCTGAGATAATGCAATGACTGTGGACCTACTGTTATTCAGTCTGCCTGAGATTAAAACTTATTCTAAAAATTATATGCTTTTGAAAATCTTATAAGGAAAACTTTTATTTATTTGTTTGTTTGTTTGTTTTTGTTTGTTGAGATGTAGTCTCGCTCTGTCGCCCAGGCTGGAGTGCTCTGGTGCAACCTTGGCTCACTGTAACCTCTGCCTCCTAGGTTCAAGCAATTCTCCTGCCTCAGCCTCCTGAGTAGCTAGGACTACAAGTGCACATCACCATGCCCAGCTAATTTTTGTATTTTTAGTGGAGACAGGGTTTCACCAGGTTGGCCAGGCTGGACTGTTCTTCAGACTCTTGGCCTCAAGTGATCCACCTGCCTCAGCCTCCCAAAGTGCTGGGATTAGAGGCATGAACCACCATGCCTGGCTGAAAAACTTTTAGTTTTGATTTTGTTTTTTATTTCAGTTATTTTTAGGTAGAACATTAGTTGATTCATTAAAATACATTTAAACAACATGAATTCAGGTAAATCACTGATTAGTAACCATAATTTCCCTCTTAATAGCTAATACTTAAAGAATGCTTACTTACTATTCTTTAATCTCACAAAAACCTTTTGAAGTAAATATTAATATTATCTGCATTTTGCAGAGGAAGAAACTAGAGATTAGTGAGATTAAGAAACAGCTTGCAAATTGGAAAACCAGCTGGAATCTAGGTCTCTTTGGGCCGAAACACAACTGCTTAATCTTTGCTGCTTCTTTGTGTGTAGATAACTACAGATCCAAAAAGCAGAAAAGGGTAGATTTGCATTGTAGCAATGGAATTATTATTGCAATAATTGTTTAATTGCACAATACCCTCAAAAAACCACAATCTGTGTTCATGCTACTACTGTATTGATAGAAACTCTTTTGAAAGAATTTCATAAATCTGAATACCAATTGTTGAAATGCTTGCCTTTTTAATATTTGAATGAATAGATTTTTATGAGTTTATTTTTGCCTGTCTAAATTGGTAAACATTTAGGTTTTCTGACTTTCTTTGTCTCTGAATATTTTTTTCCAGGGTCAACGTCTTTTTGAAAAGTTGCTCCAACTGACTTCACAAAATATTGAAATCAAGCTAGTGAGTGATGTAACAGCTGATTCAAAGGTATTAGAAGCCTTGAAATTAAAGGGTAAGACCAAGGTTGATATGCTACTCTACCACTGGGTTTTCTGTTAAGATACTTTTAATTTCCCTTAAAATAATATATAATATTTTTAGTACATTTCACTTAGTACATAGTACATTTGCATCTCCTTTGAAAAACAGCTCGATTAAAGTTTTTAAGTGGAGGAACTAACTAATATATTGGGATTAAAAAAACTGTTGCATATTAGTGTAAGCAAAATAATCTACTGGCCAATAAATGATGATAAACTAGAAAGAAGAATCTTTCCCTTTCTGAATATTTCAACGGTGTGATTACAGAGAAGAACCACTTCTCATCAGAATACACACTGGATCTCTACTTTTCTTTTGCTGACAAATGAAAATTCTTTTCATGCTATATATTTAAAAAATAATATAGTCAGGTCCTGGAGTCTATGAAACATTGCCTGACTCATGAGTTTTAAGACAATTCCACAGGAGAACACCATTTATATAGCCACTTTGCAATTTTTCTCACAATCTCATGAAGACTGAAAATAATTCCAAAATAACTTTATTTTGCTGTAATCTCAACCGAATTGAGCTCTCACGTCCAAATAGTTTTTACTGTTTTGTAAAAATTGTTACCTGGAATTTATTATGCAAAGTGTAAGCCTCTGAAAGGCATGTTTGAGCCAGTGAAAATGTTCAAGCTGCTGGGTGTCCCTAGAAGAGGACAGAGCACTGACCTCAGTGAGTCTTTCGTGTTCCGCCTGATGGCGTTACAGCTCATGTTTGTGCTATTTAAACAGATTGTGCATTTTTTGCTTGTCATCTTCCCCACATTTTTAAGTGGCAATTCCTTCTAAAAATGGAACAGAACAGGAATCAAATAAGTGAGCCCCAGTGGCCCTTCCTCCTGGAGAAGAAAAATTGGAAGTGATAAAGCATATTGAAAGTCATAGACATATAGAAGACATAAGCTTGGCTAGGCACATGTCCCTATCACCACGCACACGTTTTCTACGCACAGGAAAATAAAACATGAGATAGTCATATGTTTGAAAAGCTGTGCTGTGCTACCTGGGTGCAGCAGAATGTGTTTGAAGAACTTGTAAGTGCCTAGTTCAGTGAATTGACAGATAACAATCAATGTGGCTTAGAAATGTATTCTTACTTTTCCTATTTTTTAAAAATGTAAAATTGGATTCTCACTATCTGATAATTTGTTAGACAACACTTTTTTTTCTGAGGAATTGATTACTTTTGGTTAACCAAGGGTCCTGTATTTGCAGATGATTTTCCTTATGGAGTTTACTAGCATCTCTTTGCGTTTGATTATCCTAGCAGGATAAAAAGCCGACGTGTTAGGAAGAGAAGGAGGGAGCCTGAGACATCCACAGCTCTCTTTCTTGCCATAGCTCATGCTAAATCTTGTAAACTCAACCAAAAGTTAAAACTGGGGGATATTAGGAAGCCTGACAGATTTTCTTAGGAGTTGCTGAATATTTGCTACTGTAAATAGCAATTGGCAAATGCACAAATAAAGGCCTGGTTCATGTTTCTATTGTGAACTATACATTAAAATTTCATTATAGTAATTGCATCTCACAGAAAAAGAAGTGTTTGAATTTCCAAGCATATGTAGATACTACAACTTAGGTTCTGTTGATATATAATCTTATCAAAATATGAAAACAAATTATTTTCCTTCATAGGAGTAAAGCAATAAGCAGGACCCTATTTTCTCATAACTATTTTCCAGGTAGCGATAGTAGGCCTCTCTGGCTCTTAGTAATGCACATGATGTGTATGCTGTATGTAGAACATGTATAAATCTTTAAAATACAGTTATTGTATTTCGCTTGTCCTTTGGTAGACATATATTAAATAACAGTGCATTTTAGAAATAATTTTATGAGACTATTTTAAATCTGTGAATGAATGTCTTGCTTAAGGATTATCTTTTTTTGCGGGGAGGGATTCTTGTCTTTTAGCAAAATTCTAGAAAGCTTTTTCCAGAAATATTCCACACAAAAAAATAGGTAAATATAAAATGAGCCATGAGCAATTTCAACTGCAAGAGTTACTGAATGTAGAAACTAATCAAATATGTTGTGAAAAAGAATAAAAGCATGGCTTCCCCATAAATGGTAAAGATTTAGTGCAGGTGTAAGTAGGCCCAGAAAAGGCCAGGCAGGCTGGAGAAGTGAGACAGCTGGCCAAGGCCCCCCGATGGGTGGTGTGCAGGTCATTCCTGTTCCTTTTGCTCCCCACGCTTTGCCTGTCTCCTTGACTCGGAAGTCAGAAAGATAAACCATCTCTTCAAGGTCTCAAACTGTGGCTTGGAGGTGAGGTGCTTTTGAAACCTAGCCCTCATGAAGTCCTTGCACCCAGGGAGGGATTTAATTTTACACAAGAGCCTCTGTAAATTCAAAACGGGTTTTACTAATCAGTTTTCTTAATTTCACTTCCTAACCATCTCCGCCTGTATCCCTCATACAAACATCTCAAATGCAACGTGTTGACTCAGCTCACGTGCTTTCTTTCCCTCCCTGCACCAACACAGCATCTGTCCCTGTACATAAATGTCCATCTGCTCAGTCATTCACGTTAGAAACTCAACTCTGCACTCTCATACACCACATCTAAGGAGCCACGGTCTATAGACTCTACCCACTCTGTCTGTCTTCCAGATACCACATTTCCTCCTCACCCACCTGCCTTATTTCAGGTCTGTTAATACTTTGCTCAAAACTTTGTCACCTTTCCTCTTTCACCATCTGATCTTCCACACAGCTGCCAAAGAGATCTTCGACCATATGGTTATTATCAACTTACATGTTCACCCAAATTGCATGCAGGTGTGCGGATGCCTAAGGAATATCATGCATGCAATAAAAGGCACAAGTATTAAATATATAGCTCAATGAATTTCACAAAGTAAACACATCCACATAACACCTTCACAGATCAAGATGTAGAACATTGCAGACATCTCAGAAAGCCTTCTCAGTCCCCCTTGCAGTCAATGCCCTCCGCAGAGGGAACCACTATTTCAACCTCTACCGTAGATTCCTTTATCTTTCTTTGAGCTTTATATAAATAGAATTGCAGAATTCTGTGTCTGGATTCCTTGGCTCAGTTTTATATTTATAAGACCAATACATGTTGGATATAACCGTGGTTTATTTTACATTGTTGTATAGTATTCCATCGTATGAATATAATACAATGGATCTGTTCTACTGATAGTAGATGTTTGGGTTTTTCCTAGTTTGGGTTATTATATATAGTGCTGCTATGAGCATTCTTGTACATGTCTTTCAGATGCCCTACACATATACATTTCTGTTGAGTATATACTTAGGATTGGGATTGCTGATATAATAGGCTATATATATGTTCAATTTCAATAGATATTGGTCAGTCAGTTTTCTAAGTGGTTGTAGCAATTTACACTCTCACAAACACGATGTTAATGTTCTGTTTGCTCCATATCCTTGCAAAATGTGGCACCTTGTTCTTTTTATTTTAGCCATTCTGGTGGATAGGTATCATGTTGTATCTTCAATTTTCATTTCTCTGTTGGCTAATTATATTGAGCATCTTCTCATATGCTTATTGACCATTTCCATATTCTCTTGGATAACGTGCCTCTGCAAGTATTTTGCCCAGTGTTATTGTTGCTGTTTTTATTGGCCCATTCTTATTAATGATTAGGCTAGATTTTAATCCTTTGTTGGATATATGTATTTCAAATATCTTCATCCATTTGAGGCTTGCCTTTTCACTCTTCCAATGATGTCTTTACATAAATGGAAATTCTTAGTTTTAATGAAATCTGATTTGTTAATTACTCCTTTATTGTTGATGCTCACTGCATCCTGTATAAAAACTATTTATCATTACAAGGTCATGGAGATTTTTTTGTTTGTTCTGTTCTAGATACTATATTATTTTGCTGTTCAGACTTAAGTCTGTGTTAAGTTTGGACTTTATTTTTGCTTATGGTATGAAGTAGCAGTAAAGGTTAATTTTTATACAAATGAGGGGTCATTTGTTTAAAAAAACTTCTTCACAGCATGTTCAAGGCATCGTTGTTAAAAATTAAGTGACTACGTTTTAGTTCTGTCTTTGAATTCTTTACTATATTTTCTTAGTCTACTTATTTATCCCAGGACAAATGCCATACTGTTTATCTTGCCTTTGTAATATGTGTTACAGATGGTGTAACTTTCATCTTTGTTTTTCACTTTTAGAACTGCCTTATTCTTGGACCTCCAGGTTTTGAAATAAATTTTAGAAACATCTTATCATAAAACTACTGAAATCGTATTAGAATTACACTGACTCTGTAGATAAACTTGGTGAAAATTGGCATTGACAATATTGAATCTTTTACTTCATGCCTATAACAAAGCTACAATATTTCCTCTTACTACTGCTTTAGCTGCATCTCTCTATTTTCAATATGACATAAATTTCTAAATTATTTTTCTGTCCAAAAAGTTTTCTGATTTCTACTGCAATCTACTTTGTGCTGTGGCCTATTTAGAAATGTAAATCTTAATTTTCAAACATTTGGAGACTGTTCTATTTGTCCTTTGTTATTTTCATTATGTATATTCATAGAATAGACTTGGTATGATTTCAGTCATTTGGTATTTTTAGAAAGTTACTTTATAAAAATTTATTTAAATAAATTTGTTTTGTAAATATCAAGGCTTTCTATTGCTTTCATACAGCTTTCATTTTTGTTTTTGCATTTTCTAAGTCTTGACCAGACTGAGTCTAAAAGCTGAAAGTGGAATATAAGTGAAATGGCTTCTCATTGTCTGATACATGATCTTCATTGGTAGACTTCAGAAACAAGCTAAATGAGATGTGAGATTGTCATTGAAATCCTCTGCTTTCTTCAAATCCATGTTCCTGCGGGATGTGCCACTTGCTGCCACCACTTGGTTTACTAGGAGTAATCGTGATAATTCTTTTTTTTTTTTTTTTTTTTTTGAGACAGAATCTCACTCCGTCACCCAGGCT